CTGCCCAGGCTTCCAGGTCCTCCTGTAGTAGGGGGTCTGTTCCCCTCCCCCACCGCTGCCCGGGCCTCCAGGTCCTCCTGTGCCAGGGGTCTGCTTCTTCCCCACTGCCCAGGCCTCCAGGTCCTCCTGTAGTAGGGGGTCTGCTTCTCCCCCTCTGCCCAGGCCTCCAGGTCCTCCTGTGGCAGGGGGTCTGCTTCTCCCCAGCACCCATCGTACATGCCTGTGGCTTTTTCTGCATCATAAATGACTGACCCAGGGTCACTCCCCACCTCTGGCCCCCCTAGCCCACCTCCAGGCCATTGAGCTCACCAGACTAGAGGTGGTAAGTCTACCTGGGGGCAGACCACTCTCTTTTCCAGAGGGCCCAAGGCCATGCCCCCAACATTCAGTGACATTTCCCAGTATCCTCAGTGTGTGTGAGGTGGGAGGGAGTTGGGGACCCCTGGGTGGGCCAGACAGCCTGGTGGCTCAGGACACACTTTCTCCACGGTCAGTGAAGCCTAGCAGGTAACCCTCTGAGGGCACTTTCCACAGCATTGCATGTGGGATAAAGGCGACTTCCCAGGGCAGTGAGGCGGGCAGTGCCCCGGGCTCTGATGTTGTCGCTAGGTGCCTGGAGTGATGTTTCCGCCCCAGATGATGGAGCAGAACTGCCCTTCAGGTCTTCTGGGCTGTAATCATCATGGGAGCAAGTTATTTGGTCTCTAACTTTCTTGCCCCCTGAATGGGTTCAAACTCCTGGAATTTTTATCAGCCAAGTGCTTAATTAACCATTGTGTTGCCAGGGTTCCCCAGCTTGTGAGACACACCCAGCACCACGTTGCTGTCCAAGTCCCTTGCCTGGTTAGACAGGGGAGGGGGCATCACCGTTCCTGAGCTTTAGTTGAACCCTTTCAGATGAGTCCCTCAGGACACCCCCTCTGCTGCTTTCAGCTGATCACCTTAACTCACCCCCCAGCTGGTGCCCCCTCAGCTGACCCCCTCAGTCAGTCACCTCAACTGGCCTCTGATCCTGAAACTTGACTGTGCTGCCCAGCGCTGCCCATTAGCCAGGAGGCTCCAT